GATCGTCACTCCCGTGGGATCGTCACTCCCGTGGGATTGGAACCCCGGCACAGCCACCACCCCCTTGCTGTTCCACGTGCTGCCCTGGGAAGCGTGGGAAGGGGAATGTGGCGGTGCTGAGCTCAGAGGGGGAGCAGGGGGTGCTTGGGGGTCTCTGAGGTGCTCCTGGACGGGGTTTGGAGGGTGGAAGAGGTGCCGAGCCAAGGGCTGCCTGTGCCCTCCTTCCCTTGGCACATCCCGGTGGCTCCTGCCATTTGGGATGCCAGGAGTGCCCCCCTTAGCCCTGGAGACGTTCCCAACCTTCCCCTTGTGTCTTCCAGCTCCACGCCTGACTCGGGAGCCCGGTGTGAGGGGCGGGGGCTGGAAAAGCAGCCCCGTGGCTTTGGTGAGGAGCCACCACCGTCACCCACCCTCCTCCCCCCCCCAGAAACCTTCTCCTGGCTCCCCTCCAGCCCTGGGCATCGGGGCTGAGCCCTGGGGGTGCTGCAGGAGCCTCCTCAACCCCCTGAGCCCCTGCTGGGAGCTGGGACGAGCCCGGAGCGCCTTTCCCTGGGGGTTGTGCCTTTCTCTGGGGTTGTGCCTTTCTCTGGGGTTGTACCTTTGTCTGGGGGTTGCACAACATGTGGGGGTGAAGCACCTTCATCTCCCCGATGAAAAGAACCCGTTTCTTTCCCAACCGGCGGCGGGTTCCGCAATGTCCCGTCCCCCCCGCCTGCCCCGCGCGGGAGGAGGGACTCAGAGAGGGAGGCGGTGCCTCCTTTTCCAGGCTAAAAATACCGGCTGCGCTTCCGAAATCCTCCCGGTTCAATGATCTCCCCTGACCCCGGGGCTGCTGCGGGGGGAATTCCTCACTAGTCATTCCTCAATAATTCCATCCAAGCCCCTCACCCGGCCGGAGGGGGGGTCTCGGTGGCCTCTGTTTGCTGCCGGAGGTGGGTTTGGCTTGTGGCGTTCAGGGAATTTTTGAGAGGGGTCGAAGCCAGGCTGCTGCTCCTCCCGCTTCAAAAACGGGGGTGGGAGAAGCTCACAGGTTCCAAAGGTGGATCCAGAGACCGGGAGAACTCTGGTTTTCCAGCTTTACGAGAGAGAACCCCCAGCTTCCCCCAGGATGTGCTGGGGTGGATTCCCGGGGGTTCTGGTGTGAGTTTTGGGGCTGTTCTGTGCACAGACACGAGCTGGACTCGGTGATCCTCTTGGCTCCCTCCCTACTCGGGATATTCCATGATTCCATCCCACGATTCCATCCCAGAACGGGTGGGAGCTGCAGGAATGCCGGGGCCGGCTGAGCTCAGCAGGATCGGCCCCACCGGATCCTCCCCGAGGGGATCTGAGCCTTTGGAAGGATGAATTAAAGGGAATTTGGAGGGAACTGAGCAGCAGGAAGAGCTCGATGGGGAGGATGAGCCCCCTTTTTCCCCGCTGTTCCACAGAACAGCCCCGTCCCCTCCCACCTTCGATTGGTTCCACTGAGTAATATGCAAATTTATGCAGAGCGGGGCCCTCTGGGACTGAGTTGTGAAGTTATTGACTGTTCTGTTGGACATAAAAACATTGTCGAGGCGATTCGGGTGTTGCTGGGGCTCTCTGAGAGGACGAGGACCTGTGTCCCAGGGCTGTTTTCCAAACCAAAGAGGCACTTTGAAACCCCTGGGATAAGGAATTCCTGCCAAAGCCTCTGTTCTTGCCGTGGGCTGAGGCATCAGGTGCCCTCTGAGGGCTCTGCCTCTCCCTGGGGGAGCTTTTGCCGCCCATTTCCGAGGTGAAACCGCGGATCCACGAGGGTTTGGAAGCTGGAACCGTGGATCCACGAGGTTTTGGAAGCTGGAACCGTGGATTCACGAGGTTTTGGAAGCTGAAACCGCAGATCCATGAGGTTTTGGAAGCTGGAGCCGTGGATCCGTGAGGTGTTGGAAGTGAAAGGGAAGGAAAGGGTCGATCCTGGAGAAAAGAGGCATAAACGAAAGGGAAAGAGAAAGCCCCAAGAGGTGAGAGAGAGGCGCCCTGAAACCTCTCAGATTCAAGAGGATGCCAAAAATAACCTCTGGGTTACCGGGGTTACCAGCGCCGGCCCCCGGGGGTGCTCGCTGTGTAACTTCCCGGCGCTGTTTTGGTGCCGTCAAACCGAGCAAAACAGCTCGGCAAAAACACCTCCCGGCCCCAAAAACACCTCCCGGCCCCAAAACACCTCCCAGCCCACTCGTGCTCCGGGGTTTGTCCCCCGTGAGCCCCCCGGGGCTGCAGCCGAGCCGCGGCTCCTCCAGGTCTCCCCCTCCGGGCTTTGCTCTGAGTCTGAAGTGATTTTTCTTCCTCGGAAAAGAGAAGTGCAATGCAGTGGTTGGAGAATCCCCCCCGCGCTCTGGATTTCCTGGAAGAGCAGCTGTTCCCTCTGTCCCAGGAGCCGCGGCCAAGCAGCCGCCGCCGCGGGCTGTTCCCCCCGCTGGCAGCGAGGGAATCTCGGGATGTCGCCGGGCTTTGGGACGGGATTTAATGGCCCCCGAGCTCCTCCGCCTCCTTCGCTCGGAACTCGGCTCCGTTTCTTCCTTTGGGGGGGCTCGGTTCCCCCGGGAGCGGCCTGGGGAGGCTCCCGCCGTCCTGGGGGATGTCCTTACACATCCCCACCTCATCCCGCGGGATTCTCCCGCTCTCCTGTGCCCACCTCATCCCACAGAATGCTCTCCCGTGCCCACCTCATCCTGCAGGATTCTCCCCTGTGCCCACCTCATCCCGCACAGGATTGTCCCGCTCTCCTGTGCCCACCTCATCCCGCAGGATTCTCTCCTGTCCCCACCTCATCCCGCACAGGATTCTCCCGCTCTCCTGTGCCCACCTCATCCCGCAGGATCCTCCCGGGAGCTGCCCCATCCCTGGAGATGGCGCGGGGGATGCGGTGCCTTAATCCCGGAATTTACCGCCCTTTCGCGGCTCGTCTCGGCGCTCCCGTCTCCAGCTGAATTCCCAGAGCTCTCCCCAGCTCAGACACCCCCGGGACGGAGCAGCTCGGGGGCAGATTTGACTCCCAGCCACCAGGACTCGCCCCACATTCCCGCTGCCCGGGTCTCTCCCCCCTCCAACCCCCCGGGGGTGTCTGGAAGGAGCCGCTCGCGGTTCCTCGGTTGGGACCCCTCGACTCCCCGCCCGCCCCCGCCGTCGTTGCCGTCCCAGCCGGTGCCGGGGGCGGAGCGGGCACCGCCCGCAGCCCTCGCCGGGGCCGCCCCGCTCCTCCCGCCCGGTTCCGGCGCGGCCGCGGCGCCGCAGGTGGAGCCGAAGCCCCGCGGAGCCCCCGCGGAGCCTCCCCCGGGGCCACCCCCGCCCCCGGGACCCTCCGGCATCGCCTTTGTCCCCCGGCCCCGCCCGAGGTAGGTCCCGGCTCCATCCCGCGGGTCTGTCACCCCCGGTCCCCTCCGCCGGGCTCAGCCCGGGCCCGCTCCCCGCGAGCCCCCACGGAGGAGCCGCCTCTCCTGGGGCACCCCCCGAGGGGGCTCCGCTCGCCCCCTCCCCAGGTCTTGCACCCCTCGCTCCCCGCACCCCCCCAGGGCTCGCGGGATCCTGGGAAGGGGCGCCCTGCCCGGCCTTGGGATCCAGGAGCTCCCCGCAGGGGCTGGTCCGGATCGGGGGGTCCGTTCCTGGGGGTCTGCAGCCTCCGGGCGGGGCTGGCAGGGGGTCGGTGCCCCCCGGGTGTGGGGAGAGGTGCTGGCAGGGCTGTCCCCCCTGTCACTTCTGGGTCTGTCAGCCCCGGGTGTGGAGCGCCAGGCTCGGGGCCCCGCGGAGAGCCCGGGCCGTGCCGGTGCCGGGGGAAGCGTCGGGCGACGGCGACTCCCGAACGCGGCTGATCCAGCCGGGAGGAGCCGCTGTCCCACCGGGCGAGCGCGGGGCTCAGCCCGGAACCGCGGGAGGGACTCCGGGCTAACGGACCCCCGGCTCGGGGGACCCCTCGACCCGCGGCCGCCTCCCGGAGCGGGCGTTGGGACGCGGCAAAGCCGAGCCCGCGGTTCGCTGGAACGTTTCGGGGCCGATCCCGCCGCCTCTCCCCGCGCGGGCAGCGGGGATGGGAGGGCACAGCGCCCACAGCACCGCCGGGTTTGCCCTCCTCGGGTGGGCTTGCTGCGAGGGCACCTCTCTCTCTCTTCCCAAACACCTTGTGGGGAAGGGATGTGCCTCGGGAAAAGAGCTGTCGGTGCCCTGAGTAGCCCGGACCCGCCTGGAGATTGAGCAGGAGCCGGTGCAGCTCCCGGATCTGTGCCTTGGCCAAGACTGGCCCTGTGCTGGCGATCCCTGGGCAGCTTCCCACACCCTTTTTTTCCACGGGAAAGGTGTTCTTTGGGGTTTGGACGTTTTAGGAGGCTCTGCCGAGTGATGGGATGTCGGGAGACTCCTGCAGAGGGTGTGGGATGTGCTGGACTTGGAGCGAGCAGGGGAGACGAGTGAGGTGTCGCTCGTGGGGGAAGGAGGGAAGTGATGGCCAGAGGGTTTGGATTGTGCCGGAGGGTTTGGATTGTGCCGGAGGGTTTGGATTGTGCCGGAGGGTTTGGATTGTGCCTTGTTTTGTTCCCAACTGGATGATCCGTGAGTGGCTCTGCCCTGTGCCTGTTCCAGGAGGAGGGTGGGGAGCGTGGGCCCCGCTCTGAGGGTCCAGATGTGATCCCTCTGACCAGATGTTTGCAGAGGGTTCCAGCCCCAAATCACAGCCTCCCTCAGGAGATCTGTGGCGCTTCCTGGTTCTGCAGCGAGAGGGTCGGAGGATTTCAGCACTTCCTACTCCCTGCCTGCCGTGAGCAGGAAGTGGGAGCGCGAAAATGGCAGCAGAAGTGCTCAGAGCCGGGCTGGAAGCTCGGCAGGAAGAGCGTGGGATGGCAGGGAGGCCACCCCTGAACTGAGCAGGGTCCTGAACCTCTGGGATGCGTCATTTGGGATGAGGGGTCAGTCCCAGTGCCGGGGCTGCTCCGAGGGTGGGCCTTGTCCCGGGACAGAGGATGGAGGTGAGTGAGGATGGGACACGAGCGTGTCTTGTCCTGCAGTTTATTAAATGGCTTCGTTGGGAACCTCCCCGGGGCAGGGAGAGGCTCTGGCTCCGTGCTGGGAGCTGTCCTGGCCGCTCCTGAGCCGGCAGAGGCGTTTCAGTGCCACGCCGTGTTCCGTGCGGGCCCACAAAGCCACAGACTCCGTGGTTTTGTGGGGCTGGGTTTGTGTGGAGGGCTGGGGAATCCAGGCTGGGGTGGCTGGAGCACAGCTGGCCCCGGTTTCTGCTTCACACTCGGCTGGCTGTGGGCCGGAGTCGAGACCCAGGTGACACCGGGGGACAGAGGCCGGTGGCTCCGAGTATCCCGAGGCCGTGGCACGTGAGTGGCCACGTGGGTGGCTCTGGGATACACGAGGCCAAAAAGTTCCCCCACGGTGGGATAGGAGCAGTCCTGGGGGGGAGCCGAAAGCCGGCCCTGCAAAACTCCAAAGCCGTTTAGGAAGCGTTGAAAGAAAAAGGAGGTTGGAGAGCGGCGGCGGCGAGGAGCCGGTTTGTGTTCGGAGGCTGTGGCTCGGATTTTCAGGCTTTTTCCTGTTCCAGCCGTGGGACACAATGGCATACGTGCTTTTTCAGCGAGTCTGGGAAATCCTGCAATCATGGCTTTAACAGCTGGGACCTTGAGGAGGGGAAAAAACAAATAAGTGTGTTGGCAACGCTCCGAAAGGAGGCAGCTCCTCCTGTGCCCCGGCAGGGCAGGGTGTGAATCTCCTCTTCCACCTCTGGTTCAGACATCAAACCCTGGTTGTTCTGCTCTGATTTATTACCTTTTGATCTGCATCCAGCCCAGCCGCTGCTCTCCGGGGCAGCACAGGAGGGAGGTGAGTCAGTCCTGTGTCTGTGCCTCATTCCCTTGCTATGCTCCCCGAGGGCAGGAGTCAGGAATGCATCCGCTCCGGGCTCCCCACTGACAGCTCCTCTGCTGACTTGGGGTCAAAAAAAGCCCGGCCTGGCCTGGCTGGGTGTGAACAGGCCGAGTGGTCTCCTGTCAGCCTCGAGCAGCCCCCCCTGCCCGCGGCTCAGCTCCCGCCTGGCACGGCCGTTCCCTTCTCTGCCGCCCTAAAAATACCTCCGGAAGCCCAGCTGGGAGCAGCCCCGCGGCCTTGCTGAGTGAATGGGATGTTTTCCTGCCTTTGTTGGGGTTGTTTGTGGTCCCTCTCCCAGCTCTCTGGCCGGGCTGCTCTGCTCAGGTGCCCTCCCCGCAGGGCAGGGCCGGGCCCGGGGCGTGCTGGGGACACTCAGAGCTCTGAGCTGGCACGTTTGGGGCGTGATGTGATGGTGCCACGAAGCTTTCGGGGGGGGTGCAGGGCTCTTAATTGGACTTTTTGGCAGAAAAGCCTCGTTAAGCCGAGCCAAGGAACTCGGGGAGAGCGGGATGGAGGCGGAGGATTTGTTTTCGTTGTGTCTTGGAGAGCTCCGTCTTCCCTTTTCAGCCGTCTCCCCGCGTCAGCAGCAGCTGGAACTCGGGATGGACGTGCTGGAGTCGGGCAGCTCCGGGGCTGCTCAGGCTCCCACCCGGCACTCGGCTGGCTCTGGGTTCAGGCCGAGCTGGGGCCGGGGTGGCACCGTCCCCGGGGTGGCACCGGCCCCTTGTCCCAAACGGGGCCCGAGCGCCCCTGGAGCCGAGCCTGGAGATTTCCCAGACCCAGCCGGGAGGAGGGATCGGTGCCAGGGCACGGCAGCCCTTGGCAGAGCGGGGCTGGAGGTGGGGAAGGCTCAGCAGGAGGCACCGGGACTGGCAGGGAGTGAGGGGGTGGCACAGTCGGGGCTGGTGCCACACGTCCCTGTGACACAGTCGGGGCTGGTGCCACATGTCCCTGTCACTGTGACACAGTCGGGGCTGGTGCCACATGTCCCTGTCACTGTGGCACAGTCAGGGTTGGTGCCACACGTCCCTGTCACTGTGGCACAGTCAGGGTTGGTGCCACACGTCCCTGTCACTGTGGTACAGTCAGAGCTGGTGCCACACGTCCCTGTGACACAGTCAGAGCTGGTGCCACACGTCCCTGTCACTGTGGCACAGTCAGGGTTGGTGCCACACGTCCCTGTCACTGTGGCACAGTCAGGGTTGGTGCCACACGTCCCTGTGACACAGTCAGAGCTGGTGCCACACGTCCCTGTGACACAGTCGGGGCTGGTGCCACATGTCCCTGTGACACAGCCAGGGCTGGTGCCACACGTCCCTGTCACTGTGGCACAGTGGAGGCTGGTGCCACACGTCCCTGTCACTGTGGCACAGTCAGGGTTGGTGCCACACGTCCCTGTCACTGTGGCACAGTCAGGGTTGGTGCCACACGTCCCTGTCACTGTGACACAGTCAGAGCTGGTGCCACACGTCCCTGTGACACAGTCAGAGCTGGTGCCACACGTCCCTGTCACTGTGGTACAGTCAGAGCTGGTGCCACACGTCCCTGTCACTGTGGCACAGTCGGGGCTGGTGCCACACGTCCCTGTCACTGTGGCACAAACAGGGCTGGTGCCACACGTCCCTGTCACTGTGGCACAGTCAGAGCTGGTGCCACACGTCCCTGTCACTGTGGTACAGTCAGAGCTGGTGCCACACGTCCCTGTCACTGTGGCACAAACAGGGCTGGTTCCACACGTCCCTGTCACTGTGGCACAGTCAGAGCTGGTGCCACACGTCCCTGTCACTGTGGTACAGTCAGAGCTGGTGCCACACGTCCCTGTCACTGTGGCACAGTCAGAGCTGGTGCCACATGTCCCTGTCACTGTGGCACAAACAGGGCTGGTGCCACACGTCCCTGTCACTGTGGCACAGTGGAGGCTGGTGCCACACGTCCCTGTCACTGTGGTACAGTCAGAGCTGGTGCCACATGTCCCTGTCACTGTGGCACAGTCAGAGTTGGTGCCACACGTCCCTGTCACTGTGGCACAGTCAGAGTTGGTGCCACACGTCCCTGTCACTGTGGCACAGTCAGAGCTGGTGCCACATGTCCCTGTCACTGTGGCACAAACAGGGCTGGTGCCACACGTCCCTGTCACTGTGGTACAGTCAGAGCTGGTGCCACACGTCCCTGTCACCGTGGCCCCTGTTGGGCAATGTCCGGGGCAGGAGCTCTGAGTCAGCGCTGGGCTCTCACCCAGCCCGGCCTCCAGCAGGGAGGGATCATCCCAGGGGGGTCTCCTGGGGGTCCTGAGCTGGTGGAAGGGCTGGAGCGAGGCCGTGGCCGTCCCACTTTGGCACCTGAGCGCACCCAGCACGCCCGTTGGTTTGACTCCTGTCCACCCAAAATTCTCTGGGGGTGTTCTGGAGCCTTCACGGAGGGAGGACCTCTCAGGGAAGGAGGATCTCTGAGGGAAGGAGGATCTCTGAGGGAAGGGGGATCTCTGAGGGAAGGAGGATCTCTGAGGGAAGGAGGATCTCTGAGGGAAGGAGGATCTCTGAGGGAAGGAGGATCTCTGAGGGAAGGGGGATCTCTGAGGGAAGGAGGATCTCTGAGGGATGGAGGATCTCTGAGGGAAGGAGGATCTCTGAGGGAAGGAGGATCTCTGAGGGAAGGAGGATCTCTGAGGGAAGGGGGATCTCTGAGGGAAGGGGGATCTCTGAGGGAAGGAGGATCTCTGAGGGATGGAGGATCTCTGAGGGAAGGAGGATCTCTCAGGGAAGGAGGATCTCTGAGGGAAGGGGGATCTCTGAGGGAAGGAGGATCTCTGAGGGAAGGAGGATCTCTGAGGGAAGGAGGATCTCTGAGGGAAGGGGGATCTCTGAGGGAAGGAGGATCTCTCAGGGAAGGAGGATCTCTGAGGGAAGGAGGATCTCTGAGGGAAGGAGGATCTCTGAGGGAAGGAGGATCTCTGAGGGAAGGGGGATCTCTGAGGGAAGGAGGATCTCTCAGGGAAGGAGGATCTCTGAGGGATGGAGGATCTCTGAGGGATGGAGGATCTCTGAGGGAAGGAGGATCTCTGAGGGAAGGAGGATCTCTGAGGGAAGGGGGATCTCTGAGGGAAGGGGGATCTCTGAGGGAAGGGGGATCTCTGAGGGAAGGGGGATCTCTGAGGGATGGAGGATCTCTGAGGGAAGGAGGATCATCTCTTACACAAGGGAGGGGAAAAACTGTTGCTGCTGAGGCTGCTCTTTCAAAAGCCGCCTCTGTTGCGTAAGAGGAGCTTTGGGCGGCCCCAAAAACTCGAAGAACTTCCTCACGAGGCCGGAGACAAAGCCAGGATTGCTCCCGCAATTTCTTTCTTCCTGGAACGTTTTCCTGAACTTCAAGGCTTATGTAAATTCCCCAGGTTTGCTCGGGACTTGGTGCACCTGAGATTAGTTTCCTTACGTAGCCCAGGGGTGCAACCACCACGTGAAAATCCTCCTGTGCTCCTTCCACAGACTCTTGGCTTCACCCGGTGCCTTCAGCAACACTTGGGCGGCCGCTGGGAGCAGCTGCTGCTTTCCAGGGTTCCCTTCGGTGTCCGTAGGGTGGGAATTCTGGTGGCAGAGCTGGCCCTGAGGCGGGACTGTGTCCCTGAGGCGGGACTGTGTCCCCGCTCCCCTTGCCTCGCTCACTCCCAGCTTTTGCCACGTCCCTCCTGCCCCCCTGGGTGCTCTGACCCCCCTGTCCTCGGCCCAATGTCCCTCCTGCCCCCCTGGGTGCTCTGACCCCCCTGTCCTCGGCCCAGGGCTGGCCCGGGGCTCCTTCCTGGCCCAGGGATGCCAAGGAGGGAGGGTTGGCTGCTTGGAGGGTCGGAGGGTTGGGAAGGAAGGAGCCTCTGCTTCTCTTGGGGCTCAGCTCCCGCTTTCTGCCGAGCTCGGGATCAGCCCTGCTCCTCCTTTTCCTTCTTCCAAGGCCACCCCAGCACGGCCCTGCCATGGTGGGAGGGTGCCCAGGTGAGGCTGTGCACGGGAGGGTGCCCAGGTGAGGGTGCCCAGGTGAGGCTGTGCAGATCTGGGAGGGTGCCCAGGTGAGGCTGTGCACAGGAGGGTGCCCAGGTGAGGGTGCCCAGGTGAGGCTGTGCACGGGAGGGTGCCCAGGTGAGGGTGCCCAGGTGAGGGTGCCCAGGTGAGGGTGTGCAGACCTGGGAGGGTGCCCAGGTGAGGGTGCCCAGGTGAGGCTGTGCACGGGAGGGTGCCCAGGTGAGGCTGTGCACGGGAGGGTGCCCAGGTGAGGCTGTGCAGATCTGGGAGGGTGCCCAGGTGAGGCTGTGCACAGGAGGGTGCCC